CATTAAAAGGGGTGCCACATTAAGCCGAAAATCAGGCCTAGACCAAGAGATTGTAAAGTAGTGAAGTGTGAAGTGGCTTGGATCTTAGGGCCTAATGGGCTAGTCTAGGGACCTTAGGCTCAGAGTGACTACTGAAGAAGCGTGTACACATGAGATTCTTTTGTGACGTTTATGGTGGTGTCACCTTCGGATCACCAGACTGCATGGGAACCAGACACAGAATTTGGAGATTTAGCCGAAGTTGCATTTTTCTAAGAAGCATGGGCCGTAGCGGGTAGCCTGCATTTTACTCCCTCTGCACCTCCATATGGTGGTTGTTCAACTTAGAGAACTCCAAACCCTAAACCGCGTGGTTTGAAGCTGATTGCTACCTGAAGGAAGAGGATTCCCGAAAGTCATTCCCGAGAAACTGTTGTTTTGGGTGAGTAACCCGCTTAATGAGCATGTAATCGTTTCAAGGACTGCGTGTTGTAAATTTAACTCTGTTTTAAAGGTTTCGGACGCCCTAGGTACCCTATATCCCACGGTCCTTCGCAGTGCCCAGTTTTAAGAAACATGAGAAATCCCTACACCCTGTGCTTTGCAATCCAACCCGAAAACACTTGTCCTGCGAGGCAAACTGTGGAACGGCATTCGCCTTCGCCAAGTCCGGCGGTACTGAAACCTCCTGCCAAGATCATGATGCCAAAGAAGGGTGATCTCCCGTTGGAGGATGGGAGGATTTCGGGCTTGAAGAGCTGGATTTGGGAAAGAAGGACTTTGCTGGGGAGTCCTGCAGAGGTTACAGGCATTATTCCAGCATTTCTTCTGACCATCCACCAGGCTGGGACCTTGACGAGACTCGAGGAATGTTTGAGTACCTTATGTCGGAGTGAAGTCTTCAGCATTGCTTCTGGCTGGATGCCTCATCGCTCATAGTATTGAGTCCTCCCGTAAAAGCTTGCACACCCTGTTACCGAATTCCCGGAACACCCGCGGCTCAATGCTCGCTTACAAAAGTCTGCACTTACCAGTTCAGGAGCATTGGACCGCGGATCATCTCCAACAATAATTGTCCTGCCTGTATTTGGCCGCTTATCGCACTCAACCATGTACTTGTCGCGTAAAACTACGGGGCTCACAGCCACCCTGGTGCATCTTAAAATTACCAAGCGCGCTACAGCCTCTTGTTGGCTAATGGATGTCAGCTGGGGGCAGACTGGGTCTTATCGTTCTTTTGCGTACTAGCAAGCAAGACTGCAAGGAACTTGACAAGAGGATTTCACTGACCTCCCCTGCAAGGATTTGTTGCTTCTGCATGTGGCCGCAATGTTCACCGAGGTTGACAAATCGCTGTGGAACTGACTGGGTCTAGCACACACATGTAGGTACTTCATCCGCGAACGCCACTGAAGCACGGCTTAGGCAGCAGAAAATGACCAACAGCCCTCAGCCCAAACGCCAAGGAACTGAAGAGCATGAGGTGCAAAAGCCCAAGACGATTGTTCCCATAGAGCTCATTTATCCTCTGATCCCCTTGATCTCCTGAAGATCCCATGAACCTCAGAAAGGGCGTAGACATCCCAAAAGCATTCCCCACTGATCTGGGCTCCTCTCGAGGAGCCGCGTGGATGATGAGCGGCGGCATGGTCTTGGAGGCCTCCCCAAGACAAAGGATAGCAACACAGCTACAATTACAAATATAATGACAGTCGCAATACCGTGATGACAGCAAGAATGATAAAAATGTTAATCCGTAGGGATCCCAGCTGTGCCTAAGAAACCTAAGTTGGTTTTCAACATAGGAGTATGAACAACCATGAAACTAACACTTTGGAACACCTGTCATCATGTCGCCATTTCCGTTGGGCAAAGGCTTGCAGTTCATCTGCCTGTGGCATTTGCATCCATATTGGTTTCCATTGTCCCTGTGTTCCCAGATCTGCTCCTCGTTCCTACATTTCTGGAGGGCCCAGAGTCTTGGAAGATATGGAAAACGTAGTAGAAAAAACGTTCAAAAATCACGTGAAACATGAGAAAACCATCAAACAGAATGAAGACGAAACCAACACAATATGCCGAGGGCTGATGTCAGCCTCCCGGGGGCTTCAACAGTGCCGCAAGGTCCTAGAATCTAGATCAAGAGGCTGCAGATGCCGTGTATCCATTTTTTCATGTTCTTCAAAATGCTGAGCAAGCGCAGACATGTTATCGGGGTCGTATTTCTAAGACATGTTCCATAAACAACAATTATTAGGGTACCATGGCTGCGTGGCTGATGATAAGGTTTTATCGCGAATGACAATTTTCATAATGACCTGGTCATGTTGGTGATTTTGTTGATGTCGGCAGTGGCTGTGGAGGTGGCGATGGTGGCGGCGGCGGTGGTGGAGGGGGAGGTGGTGGCAGTGGTAGTCATCCTGAAGCAGCCGTGATGACCACATTTGTGATGACGCTGCTGCTGTCGCTGCCGCCCACTGATTCTGTTTGTGCGGCCCGCTAGCGTTACTGTTCTTGCTCGCATGAGAAAATCCCTTTGCGATTTGTCTTGAGCACGGTTCGTATGACCATTCTGTCTAGGACCATGACTGTTGATCTGCGGCATCTGGCCTGCGACCTCGCCCGTCTTGGCTTGGGAGCATCTCTCGACGTCACGGATGGTGCTGGCAGGGGGCTTGCTCGAAGCGGAGGGGGGCATTTTTAAGTACGAGTTCGGTCTTTGTGAAACATGCGCATATCTCTATAGATTCGGGGCATGGGCTAGAATAAGTTCCTGAGGAAACGTGAGACCTGCATCCTAGAAACGAGTAAGCAAACAACCCTAAGGGCTAAGCCCTAAACCCTAACGTGCCGTCCTTGACTGCTCGTGTCGAACTGGGAATCCAGTTGGAGCTCCTAAGAATGCAATGCTGAAAGAGCAGCTCAGTTGCAGTGGAAACAAAACGTTTTCCCCACCTTCCTTGGACCTTTCCTTTCGCTCTCGTGCTCCAAACTTAAAAGGGCCCCCAACACGGAAGAACATCTGGTGTTCCTACAGATACTACTATGCAATCACTGGTGCATGCGTAGCATAGAAGCAAGAAGCGGTCAAACAAAAAAACGCCAAGTGATCAATGCCCGCACCGCTGGGAAGGATTCGGACTAAGCTCCTTCGGATTTGATTTCAACGGATATGACATATGACTATTCTGGTATACTCTGATCAAAACGTTGTTCCTCCATGCATGCAACGTTGAATGATTATGACAGCAGACCGAGTAATCATGAGCGGCACGAGATTCTTCAAGTCCGACGGACTTTGGCATAGGGGTGAGGGAGGTGCGGACTTGCATATGCTCATCTCAGCCCAGCGTCACACAGCTTGAGCAGCCCTGCTTCAAGCTTTCGCAGTGTCACCTGCCAATGGCTAACATACAGATCGGAGACAGCAAAAGTATCTGAGACTGCTGCTTTTTAGGTTGCAGGTGTCACTATGGCTGCCAACTGGCCACAAGCATTTGCACGCATGGCAACATCTACCTGAGTCAGGATTTGCAGATTGTAGGGCAAAGGTCAGACGGAGCCATCTAACTTCTAACAAAAAACAGCAAAGCTTTCTGCTCATCACGACCCGTGGTAGTGCCTCCACGTGTGCCATGAAGGCCCCCATACTCTTGGACATCCACTGCTGATCGTGTTGCACCTTTGCCTGCAGGGGGTGGATGCTGGCGCCATGATGGTGAAACCAGAAATATTCATGATTGTTTCGGGAATAGTCGTAGATCAGACTCGTGGCTATCACGAGACCGCATTCACAATACTCATGGCGATGGCTCAAACCTACAACTTCAACTGTGGCCAGGCATGCCAGCTGGCATCTGGTTGCACTCAAGATTCATAAGCTGCAGAGAGGGCTACCTCACATGTTGCATCAGAGGATTACATCGGGGTTGCGCTGTTCCCTGACTGAGACATCAGTGTTCGAAGTAAAAAGTTTTAATCTTGAGGCTCCTGATGATCCAAACCCTTGGCACGAATGCACATGTGGTATTCTCAAAATGCTAAGCCACTTAATGGTATCACAACTGGGTTTACAATGCCTGTAGCATGTTCAAAAGCGATCCAGATGTAGTCAAACAAAAAGGCAAAAGCATCAACAGCCCTGCCCGACAGGTGTTCTGGTAACACTACCTACTTGAAAGTCCAAGGGTAGCTGCGATAGGAGCTATAACATGCTTCAACTGCATTCTAACTATAGCCGTCCCAATTACAGGCCTACATATCAGACCCCAGGAACCTCCAAGGATGAGTATGCTGCAGATGCAAGAGCCTAGAAGCCTTTTGCCAGAAGTTTGTCTCTTGGACTTACTGGTCCTTAGTAGGGGATAAGGGAATATTATCCCTATATCATCCCATAATTATAATCCTGATATACTATATTCCCACATTCCCTACTAACAGCCAGTAAGTAGAATATTGTGAGCCCATCCTCCACTCCGAACTGCCTACTTCTCTGTTCTGGAACTGGAGGAGCTTTCAACAGGGAACGGAAGTGCAACAGAAATCCCCAAAATGGGGGTGCGTTGTGTTCTAGTGGTAGGAACAGCCCGTCGAAAGTCTCCATGAGGCCCTGTATGTTCCCCGCATCATTCCCTTGTATACTATACTATAGCATTTAGTTGAAATCCCATTCTGACCCAAGGCATGGAGCCCGAACCCTGGATCCTGAAGCCTGATCTCTAAACCCCATCAACCCTGCACCAGTTTCCATTTAATTGTCCAGCTTCTTTTCCATTTGATTCTCCTTTATTAAGCTGATGTCCCTACATGCCCCATATGCCTACTCCCTTTAAAGGGACATGAGGTTGCCATGCAATTTTCCATTTTTATTCTCCATTGCACCCCTTCAGCCCATGAGCTCTTGACTTCAATGATGTCAGGCCACCAGGTCCAGTGCTCTCGCAGGACCACGGAGGCGAAGGCCTCATAAATGGGAAAATATTTCAGGCCACATGGGAGTAGGGTTTAGGAGGTAGGGCTTGGGGTTTGGGGTAGGCGGGAATCATGCGAATGTTTGTTGAGTAAGGAGACAAAACTGCAACAACCATTTCACGACGAGCTGGGTCTCGGGAATAGGTACACGTACTGCCGCTATGGAGTGCTTATGTGCGCACGGAGAGTTTGCAGCGAATGCCGGCGTAGCCGGATCCCAAGAGCAGAGAGATTGAATGTGAGCCTTGAGATCAAGGACATTGGAGGCTTATCATGTCATGATGGTGCGAGTTTGAAGACAACCATTTTCAATAGTGCGTTTCGCTGTAGGGGAGTGGGTAAGGAGGTCTGGCTTCCCGAGCGGATTTTGGAAGGTCAGCCCAGGCATGCAGGGTGAGGGCGGATCTCTAACACTGTTAGCAGCTGCGCAGCAAAGCTTAAGAGCGCCGTGCAGAAAAATCTTCTGTCAAGTGCACGGCAAGGATTGCCAAACTACTCCATGCCAATTCTGAGAAGCGGCATCCCAGCAGGAACCTGAGATGTCCAGACTGCGACGCAAGGTTCAGAAGCCGTACTTCGAATGCCAGCGCACCAACATCCCCATGCAAGTGGAACTGCTAATTGCGCATCAAGGGACTCTTCAATCTCTATGGCAGAGCCACCGTCTGTATCAAGCCTGCCGGGCAAAGGTCACATCCCAGTGCCGATAGAGGGCCGATTAGGCTCTTCCCCCAAAAAAGATTTCTCTTATCCAACACTCCCCCTTTTATATGTATTCTCACACTAGGGAGAATATTGGATACAGCAGTGTAAAGTGCAAAGCGGGCAAAAGATTTTGAAGATCTCTGACAAGGAATCTTCAATCTCCGCAGGCAAGGTGCAGCTTGAAGAAGGTCCACCTTGGTCTGTACTTCAATCTGCTCAGCATGCTTCCACGATTCGGCTGCTTAGAGTCAACAAGGTTGCCCCCTTGACAGCGAAAACTGCTTGTGCTCAAAAGACTCTGGTGGTATATCTGCACAGACTGCGTAAGGCTCACACGCATCAGACACGTCCAACTCCAGCGCTTCAAAGTACGTCCTGACCTTGAGCTGTTCCCTGCCTCACTAAGTTCAGGTTGACTACAGATCACACAAGAAGCAATGGCAGCCACTACGCCGAAAGGAAGACAAACGTACTTTTGGTGAATGTCAAGGCGCGGATTTCTTGTGCATGTTCTGCTCCAGCTCCACTAGACTGATGTAGCCCGACTCATCAGCATCCAGGTTGGAGAACAACGATCGCACCTTCCGTATGTGGGCCTCAGAATATGCTTCGAAACACCAGCAATAGCAATCCAAACAATCGGAACCGGGCACTTCCTTTCCAGCATCCGCATGCTTAACCTACGATCCAGAAGGGGCTCGTCCTCTTGATGAAGCAAAACTGTTGTGCAACAAAATCAAGAAATCATGTGGCCTTGTCGTTTTCCATGCTAGCTGCTCAAACATACTGTTGCCTATATGCACTGCTTGAAAAGCTGGGATGCTGACGTGTCAGATGTTGCCAGAGTTTCAAAAGCCGCCGCAACAGCAGCATCAACAACAACACCAGCAGAAACACCAGCAGAAACACCAGCAGCAGCAACACCAGCAGCACCCTGTCAAATTGAGACCCGACAGGCACCAATTCTTGGCGTTGTTGCCTCGTTCGCTGTTGTCCCGTCACATCGTAAGCAACAAATGCAACCATGGTACTTCCTTGTTCTGCATGATGTTCTGCATGATCATCTCCTGGCTTTTGCAAAAACCAACACACTTAGCTTTCGAATGCTGGCCAAGAGGCACCGTGCGATACAACCGACAAAATTTTGCCCAGGAAATTTCTGCCACACCACAATACCGTAACAAACTGTACGCACACAAATGGGTTTTCTGAGTCTGCGGCGTGGTCGCTTTGGGCGCTTTCTATAGCGCTTTGACAGAAAACGCCAGTCACCTGAAAATTGTAGTGGCTCGCTTCTGGCTGTCAGGCAACAGGTGTGTATCGAAAATTGCGGGGGTAATAGCTAACCAGCTAGCCATGGCGAACTACATGTGCACGACAAGTTCATACAGGGTATTCCGATTTGCATGACTCTTTGAATGCGATTATTGCCAATGTTCATATAGCAAGATATTGAACAAGAACCATTCTGGCGTTAAGATGCTGCAGGGCCATGCAAGGCAAAAACATTTAAGCCCACGGCCACATTTAACACAGCGAAATAGCCTCAGCTGATCAATCGTTCTTGCTCAAGACTCACGTTCTTAGCACGCGTTCCAAAGAAACGCGCTTTCAATAAAGGCTCAAAAAAAACCAAGCGACAGAAACTGATGTAGAACAAGAACAGGAAAGCCTCAGCGGATTGACAAACCAAGTGCGCTATCATATTCTTGGTTACTTCCGAACTTTGCACCCTGCAATTGGGCAGAAACATGTAGAAAATTGCAGAAACATCTACTTGTATACCTCTTTTGCTACAGCGTCAAGCAGTCGCTAATCGGACAAGCCATAATGCAATTGCGTGTACATCTAACAAAGAAAATTTCAAATGGAAGAAATATCAACATTCCAAAAAAGGTAGCCGTAACCAGCCAACTGAGTGGCTAAGCTGCAGAAGCTTTACAACACGCTTTTCCGTCTGTCGGCACATAGCAGTAGCGTCATAACACCACTCGATCTCAGCCCACCGGCTGGAACATGTCGAGAAAACAGCAGGTGTCCGTGCAAACAAGAACTCTTTGCAGTCAGCAAGCACCCTGTCTGTGATGGTGCCCAAAAAACATGGCAACCTGACAAAGGCCACAGCACTGCAAAATCAAATCTGAACGGTCTCAGGCCAAGGACCATGAGCTTGCAGGACTTCACGGGCAGTTTTCCTGAGCCACTGCGACCGAGAGGCACTCCAGCGGCACGAGTGGGCACTGGATCCCGGGCCGCTCAGGGACCAATGGGAAGGTGCCCGCGAGCTTTGGCTGCATGCGCATCGGTGGTTGGCAACACACTGAAATTACAACTCACAGGCTTCGCAAGTCTTAGCGGCCGTCACTTCCAAATACCAAATGTCTTCATAGGCGGCCTGTTGGATTTTTTCCAAGGATGCGGCGACCTCGACTGACATTGTTGGCGCTCGTCTTCATGCTTCAGCAGTCGTCCAACATTGGGCTTCCAGTGCAAGATGCTATCAGCGGTACGTGGAAATCCCGTCAGGAGTGTCCATTGCAGACAGCACGCCTGGTCAAAAATAACGTCGTGTAAAGTAATGTGCTAAGTGGGGTTTGAACTTTGTTTGCTTCCCAACCTGTCGCTGCTGATCAAGCGCGGGGTGGGTATTTAAGGGTTCCTGGTTTGTTGACGGGCTGTCACTTTGATCGCCTGGCGTTGGCCCGGGAGGCTCTGACCATGTTTATGGCTCGCAGAATCTGGCAGGTCAACACCGTCGTGCGCTGGGCCATTGAAGTTTTTCGTTAAGGTTTCTCTCTCAAACATCTTGTGGACTAACCCCGCCACACCCTGGACGCTTCTCGCCAAGGATCTCAGATGGTATGATACGCAATTGAAGAATTGAGCCCAGCATGATTGCCCCTGTGCGGAGTACCGCGTAACATTCCCTCCATGTAGGGAAGTTATGCCCTTGGATCTCAACGGCTGGCTGGGATTTCGCTCGATTGGCTGATGCGTGCCCCCTTGGCCTCGAGACTCTTCTGGATCCTGTGGTGCAGTGCCGGAACGGACCTCCAATTGCGAAACTTGCATGCCTTCCACTGTCAAGTAACTCACGCATTGAAGGGAGCTGCTGGACCGACAACTCCTCATCACACAGAGGAAAAAACCCATATCGTTTGATCCTGATTTTCAACCTCATGGTCGTCAAATTGATGTAAATTATGATGCTGGATATTTTGACCGTTTCGCTCCCCAGCAGGGGCCGTTGTAACTGTGCGGACTCCGACTGCGGGAGCTGCATCACGTTCAGTGCTAGCGACTAATCTTCAAGTGCGCCCGAACAATCGAGCTTAACAGCATGAGGCAAGAGAAGGGGTTCTATTGGGGTCCAGAGGACTGCTAAATCTCCATTGCTGAAGCATGGTTTCGAAGTCAGCTCTCGCTCTATCCCATCGAGCGCCAGCAATGCGAAGAGAGGGCCGCTAGCTGCATCGCAATCTGTAGCAGCTCATGCACAAATGCCCACGTTGCAATGCGGCTCACATTATGGAAGCCTGCCATTTCCGTTGCAGATGTCCTAATCGCCATGGCCATGGCAAGTAATCCCAGCTGGCCTGATGATACGCTCTGTTGAGCAGGCATCTCTCAAATCGAACCCTCAAGTCAATGCTGCCACCGCTATCCAGTCATTCATGTGGAACTCAGCCAGTCGTGAACACATCGAGAGAACTTAACAGTAACTTAATCAAAGGCATAGAAATGTTTCTCCATGCAAGCTGTAACAGGCCCTTGGCCTGCTGGCATACCGAACTTAACTTTTCACGTTGTCTCTCTGTTTGGGTCACCAAGTACTTACAGGGAGGCAAGAGGAATTAAAATGTAGGCGGTTGAAGCTGGCTATGCAATTCAAGTTGTCGTAGTTGAATGCGCCTAGCATTCGTACCCCCTGCCGCAACATGGGAGCCCACACAAGTAAGATACATTTCAATAGGATTCAGTTGGGGTTGCCAATGTGGGTTTCCAATCATGCCAGGAATGTTAGTGTGCAAAACCCTCACAAGTCAAGAAGCACACCAGCCAGAGACGACACCCATTGGTCTCAGAGCATTTTCCCAGCTGACTCCACCGCAAATAGCCCTTAGCTGACTGTGCTGGCTCCAAAGCTTGTGAAAGCGGAGCCCTTGGAAAACCCAGGGATATGTGGGGAATGTTAAATCAAGGGGACATTCAGATCCATACTGCAGGTTCTACACGTGTAGTATACGGTCTTTTATGGGAGCTTCTCACAAGTGTACGGCACGGAGCCAAGAATATCGCAGTCATGTAGGGAATATCTACAGACTGGACTTGAGTGACAAGGCCTGGATCGTGGGGTTCACTACGCAACCCTAAAAAAGTTCATAGATTGATAACAACATGGTTGCTTAGATATCTGCGTTGCAACTCCGCAGGGTTCCCAAAGCTATGTTTTTTGGTAGGGATTCCTCTAATAGTCCCTATGGTAGTTGCCCTTTTCTCTTCACTGCCCTAGACCCCGCAGTAGCTTTCATTTTCGTCTTGATTACTTCATCCCTGGTAGCAAAATTTGCGAGGGAGAGCCGGCCCATATTCATTCTGCACAGACTCTGTTTGAATTGGGGGCTCTCACACACATGGTCCTCTTTTTGGGGGTTCGCTACAATGCCATCACATAGCCCCAAAACTTTAAAATGCCCAAGAAGATAAACTTGATGATTTTAAACACCTACCAGACCTACCTAAGCTAGACCCGGAACATTTAGGGCATCCCACTTTCTGCATGATCAAAAGTCTCATCAATCCAAACCAAGCTGCTCAGGCACGTGTTGAGCTTTATAGCACGAATGTTTTCCACCCTACTTTGTGGCTGGCCTCTTACTTCAAGCAGCCTGACACAGAGAAGTGGGGAGATTTGACTGCCTCCACACACCGGAAAGATGTTCACAAGAGTCGAAGAAATGAAGCCCTGCACGAAGCGTCCCTAATATGCAGGAGGGATTTTCTGTGCTTTCTAACAAGAGGAGGGGCAAGGATGGGCAGCAGCCACCACCCAATCTACACGTGGACATTTTCAAGGGAATGGAAAGCGAAGCCAGTTTCAGTGCCCAATGAGCAGCGCAAGATCCAAAGGAACGTGCGCTGACAGTATGACCTCAATCCCCATCAGCAGCCAAGCAACATGAACAAGGTCAACATGGATCCAGGAAGATCATGCCAGTACTCGTTGATGGCCAGGAGTGTAGGATCCGATTCATCCACAGAACCTTCGACAACCACTTACATCCATGCCGGGCAACTACCCTTGCAAGCCCATTTGAGGAAGCTAAGATCTTAGTGACTTAGTTTTGACGGCATGTAACTGCTTCATGCAGTTGTGAAAGAACAAATGGATTTCCTTTCTAAGACAAACAACATTCTTACAACCATTTCGTCTTCTTGTCATCCTTGCTAGACCAACTTCCCAGACTTGGTAGGCAGCAGAGTTTGATCTGAAGTCGGCTGCTACTATCCCTTAGCAGCCGCAGTGTACATCGTACATGCCAACTGGTGATGCGGCAGCGCATCGAGTGTTCTGCTCAAACAGCAGCGGTTATCCGGACAATACAGCTGTGACTATTTATAACTGTGTTTCGAGGCAAGTTGCAATGCAGCAAAAGTGCAGGGTACAACATGGGCCTGCAATGTGCGCTATGCTCCAGACAGTATAACCAGAATCCTTTTCAGATTGCCGTCGCCATTCCGCGGTGTTTGGCACAACTAGCTGGCCGCCAACGAGGCACCGTCGGCGCCCAGATCCATCACGTAAAGAGTCGCCGCCTGCGTGAAGACGATGCCAAACCTTACCGCCACACCGGCACAAGGAGACCTAGCCATGATGAACACACCGGTGAGAGGATTGACACTTACCGTAAGATTCACGCAAAACCACCAATCAACAAGCACAACGACTGACAAAGATGAGAACTCTGGCAAGAGTAGTCACTAGGACCCCAGAACTCAACGGACTCCAGCTTGTGCATCCCGGAATCTCAAACATTCTTCAAAGAGCTGAAGCTGCTGAGGACGAGGCACCCATAGATGATTAAAGACAACAGTACCAGCGCCCAAACCAGTGATTTGAGCGTGAAGACGATGGAGCTAACCAACGTTCGCAGCGCCTTGATAAAACCTGGATTGGCGCAGGGCCCCTTCTTGGGAGTTTTGTGTTTTTTCTGGGCCTATATTCCTTGCTATGCTTGAAGCAGGAATTGCTGTAATGTGCTGCACTCCATTGGTCCTTTACGACTCGGTATGGAATCTGAACTCTGGCAGCTTCAGTTGGAAATGACCCATGCATAATACAGACAGATCACGAGTGATGCGGGCAATGCGTGTCAAGCGAACCAGTCTTGTGATTCTGATGATCCGCAGCACTCGCATATTCGTCAAGGTGGACACGCCAGGAGGTGCGTCCTGCCCAAACAAGAAACTCTTGACCTTCCTCTCAAAGTCTGAACCACACTGCCCTCCCCCCTGTCGCAAGTTGCTTGACATTCAGCACAGGGCACTCCCAAAAACCATGGGCAACCTGCAATCCATCTCAAGTCAGCGAATCAGCTCACCTTCCTACCACCGGCTCACATGAGGATTTGACAGGACGGTTGTCCTGATTTGACTATCCTAGTGCTGAGGATCCAGATGCTTTTCATAGCATGCCACATGCACGGGTCAGCCCAATTCCAAGAACACGAATTCAATTGTTGAATCTCTTCAAAATGGAAAACTTTCGCTTGCCTGATCGAGCATTGACAAGGTGACCTCAGGGGGCCAAGGCATGGACAGCTTCAGCACGCGACACTGCAATAAGTATCCTACAGCTTGCCATCGAGCCGTTGTTAGTGACCACAACTAGATTATTTAATTTGCGGCAGAAGTGGCGGATGAGTCCGAACAACATGACGCCGCTCCGCCAAACTTTCAGCCAGGCACATGAGCATGTTTCGTTTGAATTCCCCCTGCACACCCCAACTGGGACCCATACAAAGCGACCCCTAGTTTCTAGAGAGTCAAAGGGAGGCTGCCTGCACGAAGACCTCTACGAGGGCACTGGCGACGATGATGAGATCCGTGATGTTCCAGGCCAGGTTCTTTGCATCTGTGAAGAAGCCGCGGCCTCAGTCAAGGCTTCTTCAAATCGGGCTTGTCGATGGGTTCACCTTAAGCCTTGTTAGACGATAGGTTCTATAAGCTTCCAAGTGTTCCCTGCGGTCATGGCTGTCTAACGGGATTATCTACTGAAAGGGCTGGAGAAGGCTTCTTGCAGTGGAAGGGTATGTGGAAGGATTAATTCTTGCCTGCTGCGACCCAACAGGAGGTACCAAGAAAGGGGGGTTCCTGTCAAAATGGGGAATCCATACGTTGAGTGAGCTTTGGAGTTTACCTCTGTTTTCATCGCCAGGCGGATCTCAAAACTGCCCTGGGATCCCACAAAAGATACCAACCCGCTTTTGAGAGACCCCATATTACCCTTCTAAGCCGAGATGCCGAAGGCGGCCATTCGAAGGGCGAGCTCCACCTCAGAAGAAGAGCCGAATGGAAGCTTGGGTTTTGTTTAGGGTCTAGGAGTCCAGGATGTTTAGTATGGAGGAACTGGAATGCAGGGATTGTGGGATTATTTGGGATTGCACAAAAGGCTGCTACAGGGATTCCGCCTCTTTCCCTACAAATCACCAGCAAGCACAGCGGACGGGATTTTCTCCAGCAAACCGGTTGGATTAAGAGCCAGCAGCTTGCAAGTCTCTAGCAGGCTCTAGCAGTCTTCGCAGCATGGTCCCTTGTCTGAGCATCCGCGCGGTGAAGATCACAGTGAAGAAGTAGCTGAGTACCTGCGCAGTCGTTGGAGACTCTCCTTCTGATTATGGTGTGCAGCCAATCTTGATGATGTCTATCTGGCGTTATAGAACATGTTGCCTCTATCATCACTGCTCTGGCCCATCTCCATACCCCCACCGAAGTTTTTTTGGGGAGTAGAGTGGCAATAAACGGGCATATTTATACATGAACACAGCATACTCGCGTGAAATTGGTTGCATCCGACAACGCTGCTACCAGCATCGCTCGGCAGCGCGCGCTCACTCAACTTCATTTTCATCAGGATGCTCGCGCGCCATGTTTCAGGCCCTCTTTTGCTCCCCCCGGTCTGACTCCGGGATTTGAACAAGTTGCAATCATCTCGCCCAACTTGCGTGCAAGCATAAAATCTGTGAAAACAGCCCTGAAGATTGCAAAATGAACTTGGCCATCCCTTCTCCCGCCCCCATCCCAAACCGAACCATGGACGACAAAAACATGCTTTCTGCGACCCTTACACCCTACCCTACCCTACACCCCGCCCCCTCCCACCCCACAGCTCCACCACTCCACCCCACCCTGGGGCCTGGTGCTGTAAATCCAATGCTCTGGTGGCTTTTACTGTAGTGCTGGGGGGGTGTGGGGTGTGAGGCGCAAGTCACGCAGAAAAAAGACGGTCCTTAGGCACAATGGAAACTGTGTGACCTCCAAGTGTCATGTTCCAGAATCTATAATAATAGACCAGAGAACCTACAATTCTGGGCGATACCCAGTTGTCTCTTTCCGGGTACCCCCCCCAGAGTTACGGGCCCTGTCATGCTAGGGACCCAAGATCTACTTTGATGCGTTCCGCCTCCATTTCCAGCGGGCTGGGACCTGTCACGCACCCAACTTGGAGTCTCTTTGTGCTTCATTGGGTCATGGGGTTATATTGTGGTATATTGAAATAATGGAAACTAATTTGAAACTACTATTTAGGGTTTAGGGTTGAGGGTGGGGCTCTGAGGGGATTCCAGGGATCCTAGGGAATCTGAAGCGTTCAGCCGTATGATCAGAGGAACCCAAACAAAGACACCGGTACTGCGTAGACGTATGGCAGGGAAACATGAGCCCAACTACGGCCCTCAAATATGTCTGCGTGCAAGGGACCTAGACACTTGGTAAAGTGCTGAATGTAAACTCCCACAACAGAGACTCTAAACAGATGCTATAGGCTTATCAAGTGTGACACGCTTAGCTCAGGACTCTGGTAGTTGACCTTCTCTCTGCGCATGCACGATCAAGCTCGCAACTGCCGCTTCCAGAATTCCACTTACTGCATTACATGCTATGTGTGGAGGCTCCAATCGAGCGGCAGACCGCCCAAGAGAGCCAGTATGACTGAAACGAGCTCGGCTGTTTCAGCCAGCACGAGCACAACGGGAAACTCTGATTATCAATAATCTTCAATCAAAATGTGGCATTGACCGCACCGTCCCACAAGCCACAAGAACAATATTGGCAGGCCTACAGCTAAACTTTCAAGCCTGGGTTTTCGGAGAAGTGCTGCACATCAACGCCCAGTTCGACAGCATTGGCAATGATGCAGATGGAAAAGAACATCTCAAAAGGCCTGCGACTCATGACCCATTAAGGCATTGGGAGCACCCCATGACAGAAAGTTGGGGCATCCTTTAAGCACAGTGATGCTGTTTCTGCTGGAAACTATTGTGGCGCATGTCTGACAGTTAGCATCATTAGTGCCGTTGCAGCTATGGCCCCACCAGCAAAAGAAGGAGATCTTACTGGCTCGGGTAGCTTAGTAATCAAATTAATGAAAAAATAGGATCGCGGTAGAATCCTTAGCGCATCAGGACCCGAAAGTAAGGACAGCATTTGTCACGCCTCTAGTCACATGCTGCTACTAGACACTCAGCTAAACTTTCGATGCGATACAGGTTGCATCATGAAGGTTGGGCGAGACTTCTGATGGGCAGACGGTTGTTGTGTCCCATGATGCTTGAGCGCGCTTTGCTGAGGACCTGAAGGAGGTGCAGCTGTAATGGTTGCCACTCCACACAGACGCCTTCTGTACATACAGTCCTTCCTCGCCTCGTCAGGAACCAAACTGCGCCTACCAAAGCAAAAAGCCCAAAAGCCCTGCTTCACATCAGTCTGTGCCAAGAGTCGCAGACGTCACGACATGTTGCAGCTTCTCCCGCGCAGTCATCTCGTGCCTGACCCAAATTTGGAGGCATACTTCCAAAAAAGATTAGATGACTTGGGGTTGTGTATAGCTTAAGATTCAAACAAAGAAAAGCAAAAATGACTCGAATCCACCCGCATAGCCAGTTGTCAGGGCTGCTCTTCCGAATGCTGCGCCGAGTTTGTGACCTCAGCAAGCGAAGAATTCTCAAAAGAAGGGGTCTAGGGATGGCACGATTTTTACAAGGCCTTACAATGCGTGTTTGCCTTTCTGAAGGGATCGGGCCCTTATTGATCACAACGGTTTCTCTCAAAATGGAGGGAGTTCACGGTTAAGTTGTAAAACCCAGCTTCTCCAGCAAGCGGCCTGATACAAGGATTGGATACTTTGCTTAGGGACCCTATGATCGGATGGGTTCTGCATGCTTATTGTTAAGCATAAGTTTGGTGGTGATGCTTCACAGGTTGCTGGACTGATTTCAGGCATGCATGCTTGCACTCCGTCACCGCTCTCGGACCAATCTGAGCACACCTTCAGCTGGCTCACAACCTGCTGAGAAAGCCGCGTGCGAAAGTTGAGGGTATAGCAGCGGCTTCATGACTGCAATTCGCCAATCCGGTCTTTTTCCAGCTGGTACTCAGTGAGTTGGGGATACCCCAACCCAAGCCCCGGACCCTCATCGCCCCCATGTCTTGACTAAGGGCCCCATATCATCGCTAACCTCCTGTCCCTGCCAGGTGAGACAGCTGCAATGCTCAATGCAGGCATTCCAGGTGTCCTGGCATACTTTGCAGAATTGTGGAGTCATTGTCCCCCTCATCCACACCTGAGAAAGTAGTGTGAAGGTTCAGGTTTCACTGGTTCGGGTTTGAATCCGCGGGTTAAGGATTCAGCGAATGTAATACGCGGGTGCTCTTTTGCTTGGCTGTTGTTGTTCCCATGGAAGGAATTGCCGCAACTAGGCATGTGGGAGAAGGTGTTTCTGTTGCTGTTTCTTGCAAAGCCCAGGATAGGACTACGATGTTACGCACCACAGCTTGAACGTTTGAGCAGACGTAGAGGCTAGAGCATGTTGAGCAGGTGCATTGAAGCACACCTTTCATCACCGTGCCTTCTTTTACGAGCATGGTTCGCTGAGCGGCAGTTGGGAGGGCCCCTTGCAAAACCATACGGGGAAATCGTAATTGTGCCAAATGGCCAACTAGTTCAGTATCCATGATTAAGCCCTGCATGCTGGAGGCTGGAAGTAATTGGCTGCCTACACCTTACAGGGGCTGTCCCAAAGACCCCATGGGTGCGTGCAGACAAGAATGGCACCGTTCCGGTCCCCTTCAGGCTTCAATGGGGACCATATTTGAGAAACTCCCTCGTGGCTTTACCATGCTTTACGCGACAGTGGAACTGCAATCGTTTCGATAGTGACGGCTGAAAGCAAATTTCCTTGCCTGAAGAAAGACCTCTCTCTTCTTTTGAAAGCCACTATTCTTCCACTCCTTGACATTGTTTCCAGCAGGATATCAGCAAGTAATTTTCCTCCTAGAGGAGGTTATCTGTTAAATGCTGGGAAAGTGATGACATCGTAAGTGCTTGGCCGCCGAGATTGAGTTCAGAAGGTGAGATCTCCCGCATAGAGGCGGCTCGCTTCATAGCCTCCTCCTGCAGAGCTACAGGGTTTAGGGTTTAGGTGCAGAGCTTCCTGCATGAAATCCAAATTGAATTCAATTCATGTTTAATTGAAGTTCATATGGAAACCAACACCATGCACAATCGGGTGGAGTCCCACCCGAATTTGGTTGATTGCTAATTACGTGTGGAGAACGGGGAACACCATTCATGTGTGGAAAGTGAATTAAATCTGGCTAAATGTTTGGTTCACTCGTTTTCGTAGAACAACAACGACCTTCCACAAAACTGTGGAATTCAATTGCATTGGATGTTGGTGTTACTTTACTATTGTCTATTCATAATGGAAGTTGAACTGGAGTTGTTTCTTTTCATATAGAATCCAGGACCCTCCAGGCACGGGTGGAATCCTACTTGAACCCGATTCATGCTTGTTTGGAACTCACGACATGGAAACTAACACAGCCACCACGCCAGTGTGGAATCCTAATTGAATGTGGCTGACTTTTCAGTAGGCTTGACAGAGAGGCAAGCGCCAGTCATGAATATGTGGAATCCGAGTTGAATTTGGATCAAGAAGCATCAAAAAATCACCGGGATTCTGGTTGAATTTGGCTAGTTTCCTGCATATGGCATCCAGCACCATCCACGAATGTACCATTTGGGTTTGATTGGTAGCCGGCCTCTTGGAGACCACTATCCGCGAGTAGATGGGCGGCTAGTATGTACATGTGTACAAATACAAATATAAATAAATATGAAGATATATATATATATATTGGGGACCCCTTTCTGTCACGAATGCCCTAATGCTTGCTGCGGCTGCTCCTTCTCACTTTGCGTCCGAAACAGTCTTGGCTTACCTGCGCCTCAGGTTACAAATCAGCATCGCAGCAAGTCAGGTGCGCTGCGCCTTTTAACACCCAGTCTGAATTCCGGAATGACTCACAGCATGATGTACTCTCAAAGTGCGAAATGGCTCTTTTCATAGGCATGGCTCCAACCCGATCAATCTGTTGCTGGACGTCGATCATCACCGCCTCCTCCGGTTGCACAACTGACTGGGCCCTTCAAAGCGAGTGTGCTACTTAAAGCTCGTGAAAAGTAATTCCTATAGCAGCAACTTATTACATAAGTGCACCAGAGAGCGCTGAGTGCAACTTCATTGTTACTAAGCGTGAGCTTCCTAATGATGCAGGCGATCAAGAAGGCGCTGGCAGCCCAACAGGGGAAATGAATGCATACAAAAATGCAGGTCAGCTATTTGTTGGGCCGTCCTTGCGATGTTCGCTACCTCGGCTCACCTGCGCTGAACATGCCTTGTCTGACCAGCCTTAACCCTCGGGCTCTAAACAGCTCCAAGTAGGCACCATTCATAGATTTTAGTTTAGTGCCGAGCAGACATGGAGCCCCAGAGCCAACAAACTGGTGTCATCGCTGCACTGCCAAACGCCTAGCAGCCAAGCTGAAGTTCAAATACATTGTATTGTGGCCTGTCGGGAAGCTGCATTCGTTTGGATCGCGTCAAGGTCGAAATCCTGTCCAGCAATCATATGGTAAATGCCTCACACGCGAAGCCATGCTCTCACCTTTTGAACGCCAGTTCAGCAACCTCCAGATTTGTGCGACAGTTCACGGCGCAAACTGGAGCAGAACGCATGCAGTTTGAGTTGGCACAAGGTAAGTTACAGCTCACAACCAGCTACTTCATGCATAGCTGGCCTCGTTCAGTCGGACCTCTGCCTCTTGCATGTCTTCGGTTAGCTGCTCGAAAGAGTCTTGCCGCGACGCTCCCTGCATCAGTGCGTTTTCGGCGCTTTTGAGGCTTTTGTGCTAGAGACTTCGCCTGGGTTTACGCAGAAGAGACATGCAAAGACAGTTCCAATGATTGTCAAATTTCACGGACGTCTCATATTGCACTGCCGCTGAATCTCTCAATCTGACGGGGATTGCAACGATTACAGTAACAATTCAACGGTTTCCACTCTTCAGGCTTCAACTCTCAAGTGCAAGCAAGCGTCTCAAAAGAGGATTGCACGAATGCAAAGACGCTTAATTGCATGCAACTCAATCTGACTACTGGCTGTCTCTACTATAGCCTGACAGCTACTGCGACTTCTACTAGCACAACTCTTTGTATGCTTGATCTGATGATCTGTGCTAGCTTTCAGCAACCAGAACTTCGTGCCACTAACCAGCCAGCGGTGCGCTGCTCTTATCGAGGGAACGCATCCAGCCCCAAACCGCTACAAGATGCAGGTGTGTACCAATTGTTCCCCTTGCCTTGATCTTTTAGATTACGTGAGGTAGGGCGTTCTGATCAACGGTAGTATGCAAAGCACATTGACATTCAGCATGCCTGCACAGCGATGCTGCCGAATGCACTTGCCACTACAGACCTTCATTCCACAATAGACATACTACCCCATGATGCAATTGCCCATTTTTTCAATGTGTTGGCCGTTACTCAGAAAAGAGAGCGCGGCGGCGCCTTGGAGCCGTAGCGCGGGGGCTCCAAGGGCAGGCTCTCTGGCTCCGGCGGCTGCCTGCGGTAGAGGGGAAGGCGAGCGGGAAGGAGGGAAAAGACCGGGCAGGAGGGACAGAGAGGGATGATACAGGGCAGGGAAACCAGAGCAGGAGGAAGGAAGATAAATTGTGAACTACAATGCCTGTCCTCCTGTGTGCAGCTAATTATGCTTGTGATACGGTTAACTCAAGAAACCTTGCACCATCCCGTGTGTGTATATATATATATACACATACGATGATCTACGAGGGATCACGCCCTATCAGGGATCGTAAGTGGCACGCACACTTTCCTCCATCCTCCGTAACAGTCCTGGTCAGAAAGAGAGAGATGGAGTAGAAGCAATAAGATGCTTTCCATGACACAGATATATTTGTCAGCATCATTGCCATGTTGACAGCGATCACTGGCGGTCTTGCGAATTAGTCTCCGCTACGATCAAGCTGTTCTCCGGGTTGCTGCACATCCTTGACCTTATGGAAGTTTCCAATCGCCTGTTCTCGTTTGACGCTGCAATATTCCTAATGCCCACCATATTTTCGTGTTCTTCATGAGCAATGATCATCTGCGGCATCGTGGGGTAGCGTTCGGAAATAGTGCTCGCTAAAGCACCCGGACTGCGGAGTTTCTCACGTTCACGGGTCACGCGCAAGAATGCTGGCCAATGTCTCTGCCTCCATTGTATTGCAAGCTCAGTCCCCATGCAGCATAACTCCTCAACACGCCCCAGTTTAAGCGTGTAATTCTAGGCGTTAATATGACCATTCACCGGCTATTACGTTTCTAGGTGACTGTCAGTACTAGTGCAAGGGCACCCAAGCTTAATTGCTAGGCTCATTTTGAACGGCCGAAAACGTTTTCAATGTCTCTGACCTCTGAACTTGCAAGCCCTGTATGATCCTGGTAGATTTCTCCGTGTTCTCCGAGTGGTCCCAGCTTGCTGTGTACATATGTGTTTCATATCAAAACTACTCAAAACTGATTTCAGAACTCTAGAGGATGAGCAATCGCAGCATCCCCCATCGCGGTTCTGACAGCCCGGACTCTAAACCTTAAATGCCAACCCCTCAACCCTTAACAAAACCCCATTCCAACCTCGTAAGACTCTGAACTCGAAACTGTTGACCTGCGCCGCTTTATCCAAGGGAAGCATCTAGCAGCCCCTGAAAGGCATCCAAGAACCCACCCTGGGCCTCTGCTCCTGGTAGTAGAGCTCGGTACCAGCAGCTTCTCTCTGCTCTGGCTTTGCAACCAGCAGAAGTGACAGCACCTTCAGCTTCAAAAGATACAGGAATGGATCTCCCCCGATTCTGGGTGTCCTTGCTCTTTGAAATTCTGTCCTACAAGTACCGTTTTGCGCGTGCATATCACAAGGAGGTAGGACATCCAGATTCCAGGTAGGGTTTTGGGATGAAGGGGTCCGGGGTTGAAGGTTGTGAAAATTGTGACCAGAGACTGCTGAGGGATTAGGGGAATGAAGAACAGATTCAGGTTAGTTTAGCCCAGTGCCTTTCCAACCCAAAATCATGCACCGAGTGCAAAACGATACAAGAATTTAGGAACTCCCCAATCAGAGCATGCGTGGTGTCGTGAAAACGGGCTGCGGACAGTCTTGCAAGCCATATATGCTATTGGACACCCACGAGAGGCCTCTATGCATGCCTCAGTGCATTTGGTGCGGACGCGTCTAAACCTGAAGCCAAGGTGGAGATTTCTTGCGAATTGGGGCCCCCTATGCGCCCTCAAAAAACTACGATCCATACAACGGGATCAATGATTTTTGGGGAAAGGCATGAACACTTTGCTATGCCCGTCTAAGCCGTGTTCAGTGATCAGATGGCTGAGTCCCAAAGAATGTCGGTCTCCCTGGAGAAGCCCCAAATCTGGGAGTCGTCACTCTAAGGGCGCCGAAAGGGCAGAAGGGGTGAGATACCAAGCCCAAGGTCCCTAAACCCGAAATAGTAGTTTCCACTTTATTATCATTATCCCAATATAACCCCAATATAACCCTAATATTAAAGAGCAGACCTGAAAGAGGCCCTGCGCTCTGTGCACCTTTTTCGCTGAAGCGCTGTGCCTACTGGGTCCTACTGGTAGGTGCCTGGTGAGTCCTCTTGGAGGAGCTCCCATGGCCTACTTTGCTCTTCTCAGGCTCCGCAACGTCCGATTCTCAGACTCACGATTGGGGCCCTGCATTTCTTCAGTCTTCGGATCGGAGAAGCTTTGTCTCCCCAAACTGGCCATCTAGGCAGGCAGTCATGCAGCTTTTAAAGCAGCCTGGATGTTTCTGTTGCTACCTTTGGCAGCTACGGCCTCTCAAACAGTACATCAGCCCGCAAGACATATTTCGTCCCGAAGGTAACCTCGGTGTCTTCCTGCAACGTGCAGAGCTCTCCTCGGCCGTCATGCAGGTCGTTTTGATGTGTAAAGCCTGGATGCGATAATCGTGTTTCTCGAAACGGAAAACATTTCAAAACATGGTTCGGGCTTCGTTCGCATGAAACAGAAACAACTCTCCAAAAAAGAGCCCACCTCTAAACTTCAAGACGGGAGCATCCTCAGTACGGAGACCCCTGAAAAAAGACTCACGTTCAGCAGTGACTGGTAACTAGTAACCTGACAAGTACACTTCCTAAGCGCTTCTCTTTGCATCCCTTGATGCTTAAGCCTTCTGCATGTTACACCAGAAGCGCTTGAACACTAAGGCCGCGATGATCCCCGTATAGTGAGAGCCCAACATATCCCAAAGCTCCCTATAGGGTACCCCTCTGTTGAGAAACGGCTAAGCCCTAAGCCCGAAACCTTACCCAAACCCCAAATCTAGGTAGAATATTGCAGAAAGGCCAATATTTTGCATCTTTTGGGGGTTCAGGTACATCCTGAGCCCTAAACCTTGAATCCTCAACTCTCAGCAGAGTCTCCTTGTGGGTATAGAAGGGCTACACCAGCCTCAGGCTCGAACACCACTGGATCTTCCTGTTGGGTAGGCTGGCGTTGGGAAAACGTAAGTTCACTGGTGGTAAGTTGGGAATAAGTGAATACAACACCCCATATAACATGTAAAAACAACAAAAAATGAAAAACATCTGGTACCATATACTTGGAGCCCAGGCATATGGGCTCAATTTTTGTTTGGTTTTTGGATCTCGTATACATAAGAAAGGAGACTTACTGAACTGTGAGCAGTATAAATCTTAAATCTGTAAAAACGCAGGGGTCAAGGTACGCCGCCGAACCAACATGTTCTATGATGTCGGGATTATGTGGGCTGCATAATCCCTTTCTCGTATATTCCCTCATAAGTTCTTTTTTTGGCGGTCCCCATGATGAGGATTGCTTCATCTTGGGGTCTATACTGGCGCCCCCCTAGGAATGGAAACTGCATAGTCATTAGGGTGATTAGGGATTGAAAAACAAAATTTGAAGCTACTATCGCAGTTGGGGTCTAGAGTGGCTACTGGACTTAAGGGGAGCCTCTCCAAAGGGAGGTACATATATCAGGCGACGATGGGGGGTCCACATAACGGATCCTATGGCGAATCACTTGAGAGTTTCGGAAGTTCCCGTATCTAGGGGGCCTCGAAGATGCTACGCGCGGAATTTTCTGGGGAGTTTAAGTGGAGCTTTGAAAAATGCTCCCAGCAATAATTTAGTAGAGGCTTTCTGGCCATAAATCTGTCTGCTCAAACAAAAGGACCACAAAACACAGAACGTAAATGAACATAAACAGTGCGCAGCGCACAAGACCCAGCGTCAAAAGGCACGTGGAAGACGCTGAGGCCACCTTCAAAATTGTCGTCCCCGATGCCATTCAGAAAGATGCGCAGCGAATACTTGGAGATCTTTCTGCCTCTTTCAATGGGTCTGTCCTGAGCGAAGCCATTTTGAGGGTATCTATAAGCAAATAGCATGAAAGAGAAACGGTGATTGATTGAATGCTAACAGCTAGACAAGTCTTAGGGATCATCATGTTCCGCTAAGCCCAAGTATCAATGTGGTTGGAGAGATGGCCGCCTGCCACAAACCTCTGGATTCGGATCACGTCGTTGAGGCCACAGGGCACCATGCCGTCCACAGTGACTGCTCGCAGAACCCATCCCAGGCCACAGTTCCACAGGGCCTGAGCAAAGTCAGGGTCCATGATGTCCAAGCATTGCACATCCTGCACATTCATCCGGAATTGCTGTCGGAAAGCATACGACTCTGCAATGCTGATGATCCCCAGACACTCCTTGAGTGACAGGAGGCCCGGTATACTCATGCAGTCCACGTTCGTGAAGTATTGGGGCTCTGGAAATCGCTGCTCCCTCAAAAGAAGTCCAAGCTCAGATTGTGGCTGTCGCCGCGGGGGTGGGCCTTTCTCAGGACGCTCTATCACCATTTCGACGTCCACCCCTTCCTGCCCCGGGAGGGACTCCCACACGTTCACGGGAAATTGCATCCGCAAAGGCAGTCTGGATCCAGGCAGTGTCGAGGCAAAGAACTGATGGTCTTGAACTCGCAGATTACCTGGACAGGGGAGACTTACCGTGCACAATATTGCTTGCAAACTGCTAGCCGAAACTACAGTACTGTTAGGCTGGCTAGCACAAGCCAGTTTCGGTATTGCAGACACTGCTCACACCGGTTCCCACCATATTATCCTCGCAAGATCTTGCAAGTCTATTTCCTAGTTGCATACTTGCAATTCACCTATTGCCACACATCCGCTCCTCCTGGAGGACTTCTAGCTTCTTTGTGGTTTTGCCGCTGGAGCGGCAACTCCATATCTCCATGTCTCAGCTGCGAGTAGGCGTGGGTCCGGTGGTACAGAGGGTCTCCGACATAGCTGCGCAGTGCAGGCATGGGCACAGTGCGCAGCGCCAAATCGCTGCGGGCTATTCTAAATGACCATCATGCCTCTACTTGCTAGGGTGTGGCTCTACTTGTCCTTGGCCAAGACATGAATACAAGTCTGACAGTGCCTAGCAAGCTACAGTAGCGGAGGAACCTGGACCCTTCTTCTTCTTGATTGAAGTAGTTGACTGGAGCTAATCTTGAAATTTGAGCAAGCTGTTTCCAGAGCAGCGCAGAGTGAGATACCCAATCGCGAGTGCTCTGCCTGACGCGCCGTAGCTGCACAACTCGATTGAAAAGAAAGAGGATCCAGCACTTATACGCTCTAGCACGAGCCGACCTCATCCTGGAAGTTCAATCGCTGCAGCAGCTCGCGCTGATGGCGATCCATCTTTGTCTGCACCTCCGTGAGAGACTGGGTGTATGCCTGGGCGACAGAGTCACAAGCCTTCAAGACTGGGACCCCGCCGTAGCAAAAAAAATCAGATGGTACCGTACTGGACATCTGAATAATTCCCAGTCCACCCAATAAACGCACGGCCCAGCACGGCGCTGGTTATAAGGACCCAAAGAACACAAGTTGGACAAACTCCTCTGTCACTCCTTGTGCTGAAACGATCCTGGAAATGGCCGATGGCCGCACTGCTGTGCCAAAATCTGCCAGGTCATGTGAGTGCACTAGTAGAGAATGAACCAACTGCAAGACTCTGACAACTACGACAACGGATGGTGCAAGATAAACATGTTCAGTGCACCAAGTTAGCTTTGGGAAAGAAAGTTGTAGGCAATAGATGATAGGCACATGACCTCTGCGAAAGGTGTCTCCTCGGGATCCTCTGGTCCTGGCGAGCATGAAACCCGGCTGTTTCTCCGAAGCGAAGATTCTTCGGGCACACCTGAAAGCAAGTTAGAACCCTCATGTTCAGGAAGTCTTGAGAAGCCCCCTAGCCGCTGTTTAAAATCGCTGCGATAACAAGTTGTAACAGGGGGACCTATGCGCTAAACCCTAAATAGGGTTTCTGCGGGGTTAGTCATGTTTCAACCTTCGGCTCGGGCTTGCTACTGGTCCGTCATGCACGACAGGCCGGAACACAACCTGAAATCCTGACTGCTGCAGAATCTGACAGCTGGGTCATGACTCTACATGAGCAAGCTGTCGCAGGCAATACTGTAAACCTCTCCCCAGGCCCCAAGAATGCGAGGTTCTGGAGCAAGGCTCCTCCAATTACCCCCAACAGAACATCATAAGAGAGCGCCACAGAAAGGACCACACCACTAGGTCCGAATCCGATATCTCCGCAGGGAGGAGGCCACTCCTGCACTATCTACCCTGTATACAGGCTACCTCGCTAAATCCTGATCCTAAAATTCCGCGTGCCCTATAGAGCGCAGACCCCTGAACCCGAAAACCCCTAGCAGTTTCCATGTTTTCCATTTCCTTTTCCATTCGCCCAAACCAGAATCTACCTCTGAAGGTCCTGCAGCCTCGCTGGCTGCAGCTTTGGCGGGATTGTCCTGGCCAAGGCTTCAGCGCTCTCCCGGGCTTGGGGGGTTTAGGGTTTTAGGGACTTAAAAGGTTCAGGTAACTGGGGTCTGGAGGAGTTTAAGGGATGAGAAGACGATATCGGTATTGGACAGGGAAGACTCTAGGAATGTTAATAAACTCTAGAGATTCTTGCGAGGGTGACGTAGGAACCATGGGGATCCTCCTGGACGGCAGGTATTTGCCAAAAGTATTATCCCAATTTGGGTTCATACTGTCGCTGCTGAGGTCATCACATCCTTTACTGTGTGTTGTGTAGGGCGCTTCATCCCGAAAGCACAGGGGCTAGCGTATAAGCGCAGTCGCTGACGTTGGGACATCTACTTTGACTATACTACACCTTCAACGACCATTCATTATCCTCATTATCCCAAACCGAAATCATTCCACTGCTAGCGCTGAAGCCCATGTACTTGGTGGTGTGCTGCCAGCACCGCCACTACCACCGCCACAATCGCCACCGCCACCCCCAACCGCCGCCACCATCGCCGGCGCCACCCCCACCACCGCCACTGCACCCGCCACCACCACCCGCCCCCACCGCCGCCACCGACACTGCATCCGCCACCACCACCACGGCCACCACCGCTGCCGCCACCGCCATGGCCACCAAACCTGACAACGAAAACGAGGAGGACGAGGACGAGAACGACGCTGCCGCTGCCGCTGACGCCGAGGCGGACCGCGACCACAATAACACCAACAGCAGCAGCAGCGGCGGCGGCGGCAGCTGCGGCAGTGGCGGCAGCGTCGGCAGCGTCGGCAGCGTCGGCAGCGTCGGCAGCGTCGACAGCGTCGGCAGCGTCGGCAGCAGCAGCAGCAGCAGCCACAGCAACAACAGCAACAACAGCAACAACAGCAGCAACAGCGACAACAGCAGCAACTGCAGCCACAGCAACAGCAGCAGCAGCAACAACAACAACAACAGCAGCAGCAACAGCAGCAGCAGCAGCAACAGCAGCAGCAACAGCCGCAGCCCCAACCACAAGAACTTCAAGAACTAACAAGAACAACAAGAACAACAAGAACAATAACAATAACAACAAGAACAAGAACAATAACAAGAAGAATAATAACAACAACAGCAGCAGCAGCAGCAACAGCAACAGCCGCAGCTGCAGCCGCAAGCGTACCCGCAGCCGCAAACGCAACCCCAAGAGCAAGAGCAAGAACAACAACAACAACAACAACAACAACAACAACAACAAAACCACCACCACCACCACCGCCGCCGCCGCCGCCACCACCACCACCACCACCACAACAACAACAACAACAACAGCAGTGCTCGGAACTGCTACTCCTAATTCCGCCCACTAAGTTCGTGACGGCCCGTTATCATGTCCTACTACCATCACGGGAATACTTGATGACCAGGGGATCGGGTTGGTTCATAAACGGGGGAGGGGGCTGCGGTCATCATGTTTTAGCTCCGTGCCAGCCCACAAGGTTCCTAATCAAACAGTTCCCCAAAATCAACTCCATGTAGCCCTGAAGAAGCACCCGACTGACGCTTGCAAATTTAGTAGCATATGTTCGTGAAGAGGCTTTGCTTCAGACGTATACGACGCATCAATAAACAGACGTCCTCACTACATACTATTTATTTTGCATAAACATCATGTGGGAGCTCCCAAGCATGGCCGGTAATTTTGCGCAAGTCCCCTTCATATACATATTCATCTTACATATCCCTATATGCACCTGTATGTGCCTCCATAATCCCTATCTATTGCACTATATACTTTAAGGGGGCCCAATTTTGGAAACCCCCATATCTCAAGATCCCAACTGGAAGAGCGCCCCGGAGAGTACATGACGGCTGGTGTTCCATGATTCTTATGGACTACTTCTGATGGACGACATTATGCAGGACCCCAAGTGTGCTCAAGCAACAAATTCTAGGGTTTAGGTATATAATAAGGTCGTGCAGGTTTTTGTGTATCAGTCACGGTGCTGCTTTAACAAGCATTGCTGCGGTTACAGAAGTGCCCCTGAGCAGTATTGCCATTAGTGGTGTGATTCTATCAACCGCCAGAACACTGCCATGGTAACACAAGCTATGTAGAATCTTCCCGTGAGTGATCTGCCAGACCTTGCAGTACATTCGTGGGCTCGACCCAGCGAAAAAAATTGATTCTTCCTATCACAGCACTGGGACCCCATCCTATACCTTATATATCCCACTATAGTACTTTCCATTTTCTTTTCCATTATCCCAATATAACCCCAAAATATACCTTATATATCCCATTATAGTAGTTTCCATTTTCTTTTCCATTCGCGGGGGGCTCGTGATGTTGAGACTGCGAGCATCCCCGCTCCGGCCTCTGACATCTCCCGCCCACTTGCACAGTGGCCTCGGACTTCAGCACCGACAACTTCGAAGGGTTGTACATATGGGTGGTTGTCCAAATTATGGCCCCTTTTTGGGTACTCTGAATATTAGGTGCCATATTATAATAGGGGTCCAAAAAGGGACCATAATTTTGACAACTACCCATATGGGTTCAGTGGTCCCTGCTTTGGTAGTCTCAGAAGAACCTAGGGGCTTAGGCGATTTGCTTGAGTCTGAACGCGTCAGGAAGAACGTAAGGATAAAATGATTTCTGGCAGAAGTTTCAACTTGACAATGTGTCTCACAAGAGAGAGATTCCCTTACATGCGCCCTAACGACTAGAAGTCCTAATGACCAGTAATAAAGGCTGCGCTCTAGTCCTGCCATCACCTTGAGCTTCGCACCTCGTGCCCGCAAGCACGATTCATGTAGTCTTTGAGGCATGTGGATGTGTCTGTGGCTGCGGAGGAATGAAGTGGTCTTGAGCGACCGTCGGAATTGTAGGGATATTACAGGGATTGCCATGGGACTATGGGGTTCCTGTTCAGGGTTCTGCAATTGTGTTGAGAAACTCTCTCAACATCATGGGTTTCTTATGTTGGGGATCCAGCAAATCAGCGACCGGATCCTTTTGATAATCTAAACGGGTCCGACTTGACATAGTTGTGAGAACCCCACAGCCCAGGAGGGAGCATGCATGAGGAGCTCTGGGAAAACTCGAATCATCCTGCCTTCCCCAATTCCTGCTTATCCTACTGCAGGTCAGGAAATGCTGCTTAGCATGGCATTTCTCGAAACGTTACACATGCAATCCTTAGTCCCCTTATAGCCCCCTTTTATACATTCGCGAATTAGGGGAGGGTCATTGGCTGGGCAAGCGTAGGTGACTACCTCGTGTCGCTCTGATGGGGTGTGCTGGATCAGCTCAATTTGATTTTGGTGTTATCTTAAAGGAATCGATGGCCCAGGGACATGACTCATAGCTTCGTTCCCTACTTGCTCGAGAAAAGTCAAGCCTAATTACAATTGAGAGCATCTGGCACTGGCAGCCATATGCACTGCGCTCTCTGCTAACAAACCTACATGCCCCAGATTCTCGATGAGCGTGTACGCCCAGCTGTCAGACTATTATTGAAGCTTGAGAACACGCCCACTTGCGTAATTATGTCCTGCCCCATCCCTTGACCTCGCGGGTCCACATGCTTTCAAGATCTTTCAAGCTAATCATGTGCAAGCACTGACCAGGCATGATTTGCATGGTTCTGCCTTGTGGGCACACTGACCACTTTATGCCAAAAGGCGTACGTTCTCGGGCCATGCTGAAATAAGCAAAGCTGACTGGCCAAGCTCTTTTTTACGCATGTTTGTCGCGCAGCTTCTCATTGTCAGCAGAATCATCTGTGTATGGCAGCGCATCCTTGGATCTGCACGGGGAGATGGACCAGAGATGGGTTTGGCCTTAGGGTGTTGGAGGGTGAGGCATTCTGCTGTACTCGACTGCGGAGGTACGCAAGCGGCTAGAATTCCGAAACTTCATCAGACCACTACGAAGTGTCCACAATGCTGCACGGGAACGATGTCTCTGCCGTTCTTGTCATGCTGCAGAACCAGCATGGCATCATCCTCCGCATCCTCGTGCAAACTTCTTGCCCACCCAAAAATACGCCGTTCTCAGGTTGACAAGACCGGGAACGGAAGCTCATAGTGGCAAATAACGGGATGCCTATGGATGCCTATACTAACTCACTCTGCGAATTCTTATTCTTCCATCCGACCCCCAATGCTCTCTCACCAAAGAGATTCGGGAGAGCCACCTCCTTCATCATGCTAGCTCTCCCTCACATAGGAACTGAGATAAGGGTCGTAGGCCCTGCAGATGATGGCAGAAAGGCATGGTAAGGCGAAGCCCCTGAGGCTAGTCTCTGCAGCAGAGAAGCCTCAGGCATGGACTGCTGAATGCCAAGCTTGTATCAACCCACATTCTAGGAGCCCCCTATACAACTGCAGAGCGTAGCTGGCTATGGCGCTGCGATACTTGTGTGTGTGGCTGCGTGAGGCGGGACTCATCTACTAGTCTTACTATTCAGAGCTGAAAAGGACACTACCTGTAGCGATATCTTGAAGTTGCAACAGTCGCCGTTCAGTCAGCACATGCTGGGAGCCGATGAACTTTCCTAAAGTTATAGGATCCTGCACTGCCATAAACAGCACCCGCCAGCTGCAAATGAGACCCAAATAGATCTTGAATAGCCAGTACTTTCGGTAAACTTACTGATCCTAAGTTCGAAACGGATTGATGTAGCCACGCAACATGAGTCTGTAACAACATGGCAAAAGTAGTTTCCATCTTTATGCCGTTCTTTCATTCCCCGTTAACAACCAGCTCGTTAATTAGGAGCCTACGATTACCCAACCAAGCCTCTGCGGCCCGGTCCATTAACTTCTCCATCTTTTCCTCCTCCTGCCATTGGGTCAGCATCTGAGAGATGATGAAAGCAGTATGTCAGGCTCGAGCATGTAGGGATGAGATGGGGATCCTACGAGATTTAATCATCTCTGTTTTCCATACTTAGACAGCTTTGAGTTGTGAAATTGCACAGGACCACAATAGATCTGCTGGAACAGGCCAGCTTGCCTTGAATGACATGCATGCTTCAGGTCCACAAGCCAGCAGGCAACGTGCACTTACGTTCACTTTCTACGAAACGCTCCCAAGGCAAGCCGAGCTCACATTATATTTGAGAAATGTTTTTCTGATTATGTGCCAGCTCTCACTTCCAGCCCGTGATTTTAGGTTTGAGTCTGTCCTCCAGCATCTGCGAATAGTCCGCGCGTGCTGCGGCATTCTCCTGGGAGCAGGCATTGTTCGCTAGAGCTGACAGCTTGAAAGGCTTTAAGTGCCAGGGTGGCAAGAGTAAGGTCTCGCCCTGCAGATTGTGTGAGCTAGTGGAAAATGGCGTTGTATGAGGCAAGCTGCATCATCTGCATAAGGCAAACATGAGCCAGGTTTCAAGGACAAATGGGACTAGACATGTGTTTTGGGTGACGCTGAAGTGGCGTGAAGTCAAGGATCGCTCCCACGTAACTCATTCAAAGCCTAATCATCATGGCCGCGCATGTCGAATCTACGGCCCTGATCTTTCCACGACAGGTTTAGCCCAAACAAACCTTGCAATAGTAGCTTACTTCCTAATCACTACTTTGTATGCGTTCTACTTTCATGGTGACCTCAAAGTACTGCCGCTGCTGCCATGACAAGTAGTAATGAATTGTCTGAAACTCCCGAGCGCCTCTCCCCCAAAATTGAACCCAAGCAGGTCCTAATGAGTGGCTTTTAGGCGTTTGTTGGGGAGGAATATAATATAAGGGGTGGTGTGGTAGAACCCTCTGACTCCCACATGGTGCCACTGAGGTCTCGACTCCTTTGGCAACCATCTTGGCTGCATGCCGCTCCTTAGTCACGTTGGGCTCAGCATCCGTCATCCGGGGGCATCAAGGCTTAGCAGGGGGGGGGTCCGGCTGGTCGGCTGGGTTTCGCACATACGGGCTGGCCTGGGGCCGAAAGAGGATCCGCTGGGCAATCCGCTGGGCAGATTTGGGTCGAGATTTGAGGGGGTCAGGGGGTCGCATTGAGAGTCACTCACAATGTTGCAGGTTGCGGGCGCCAGACCAAAACACAGATTTGGGGAGGAGGAGGCTACGCTGAAACAATCTGAGAAGGGGGTGGTGGGAGGGGGAAGCCATCTCTGGCCTGAACTACACTTGCTGAGGCGGTCTCGCGTTAGCGATTACATGACCTGCGCATTATCGCCTTCCAGTAAATTTTCCGTCAACTGTCCTTCTGGGAGCTACGGCTCAGATGGAAAGGACTGCTATCTCAATAGTGTGGCTGCCCACAGTGGGTACCCTTTCTTCGGGACCTTGTAAGGCCTATTGAAGTCAATAGGTATGTTCAGGATCTGCGGCGACCTATCCATAGTCCACAGGGCTATGTTGAGGCTCTGGATCGGAGTCTGGATCTGGATGTGTGTTTCCCTTTGTATCGGGAATCCACAAAGCTGCACTGGCGCTTGATCTATAAGAGCCCTGGTACATAACAGATAGATAAACACATACATATATGCATATATATATATACACTTTCAAATACACATATATGTATACACACGCTGAATCAGCCGCACATGTCACTAGGATCCGGACGCGCTGAACTGCATCCTGATGTGGTTTCATAAGGGTCAGATTACGGATAGCTCGTGGAGTACACTGAGTTCAGACGGATACGAGGATCGTATGGAGAGCTTGTATAGAAACTTGTCTGAGACAATCTACGAGCGCTTTGAGACAGGGAGAGAAGTCCCAAACGAAAGCTGAAACGAACAACAGACAGCTGAAAATCTGCAGAGAAAACCACAAAGCTGGGTCGAGGGCCCCGATGTGTGCATGTATATGTAGAAAAATATATGCTGAAGATGATGTAGGGTTTGGGGTTGAGGGTTTAGCTGTATTCTTATTTGAGGAGACAAATGGAGACCACAAAGATCAACCCATCGAGTTTGGAAACTTATGAAAAGTTCTAGGGATTCTAGGGGTCTTACAGGCTCGTATATAGAAGGTTGTTGAGGCTTAAGATCGTCAAGACCAGCTAGCGCCAGGAAGAGAAACACAAGTTATGGATGGGACCAAGCGAGAAAACACGGGATATTCAGTGAGTATGGATCTCTCAAAATGCTGGTCCCTTTCATAATAGTCTCAAGTCTCTCTACAAAATCAGCGCGACATTGCGCTGAGGGCATATTGGATGAACTTGGATTCAAGAAAAAACCCAGGTGGAGCCTTTCCGGTCTCAGCCAACCAGAATGGCTGACAGGAACATGAACAAAGGGACAGGCATCACAGACTTGCTGAGCTCAAAGGCAATGGTGTTGGTCAACGTGGCCGTCGTTGTGGCTGTAGCCGTGGCGGCAGCCGTGACTGCCGTGGTGGTGACCTTGAGCGT